CCATAAAATTTAAAGTATTAAAAAATCTTTAAAGGGATATTTATCAATAATGTAGTTGTAAGTGATCATTCTCAGTTGTAGCATTATTATTGCAATATGTATTAAACACTAACTTCAGTTTCTAGAAAAACTGGGAATTCAGAATCTAGAAACTGGCACTAAATCCTGTGCAAATGCAATTATAATCAATGTTATATTGCAGAAAATCATACCTACACATCCAAGTGCTCTTTTTTGCACCAAATCATATCCAAGGTTATGTCAGCCAAGAAAATATGAAAGTTGAGCATTTAAGTACAGTATTGTGGTTGATTACATAATACAATTTACAAAGGTTTGTAAAAATATGTTAAAAGCAATTGGGCTGACAGCTACACGATGAATTATTAAACCTCAAGACTGAACATGTATACCATATGAATATGCAAGTTCAACAAACTGTGGCAAGCCTGCTCTAACATTCATATATTATAGATAACTGTAACAGCAAGATGGGCTGAAAAACTGTAAGTTATAAATTTAGTTACTATTTACAAAAAAAGTGTGTACTAGACAGGAAAATTAGTCAATAAGCAATTTGAAGCTAACATTTCTTACAAGTAGATCCAGTGGTCATAAAAAAAAAAAATGATCAGTATCATTATATAAAAGTACTGAGGAGCACAATGTGTGATATATTAACAAGGCAAATGTAATTTTTAAAAGGCTAAAAGTACTATTAAAGAACTTTGTGTTGGATCATACTTTTATTCGTCTGTAGATGAGCTGACATACAATTTGGAGAGAATGCTTACTATAATCAGCATTTCTGGACCAGTGTAATAAAAAAAAAAAAAAAAATGAAATAAAAAAGGAAAAGAATGTATGAGTCATTTGAAAAAAAATAAGTGGGAGAAGGAAACACTAGACCTCACTAATTGTGGCAATGGTGAATGAAATTATTTTACCTCGTTTTCCTATCTGGCACCGACAGGGAATTCCAAGCAACTTTGAGAAACTGTCAATTTTTTTTTTTTGCACGATTTTAAAGCTTACATATGGCAATACAAAGATTTTAACTTAAGTGCGCAATTTTTTTTTTTGGATCTTGTGGATTACAGCGTTCCTTGCAATTTTCAAATGGTCATGAAAACGTTATGTAGCTTAGAGTAAAATATGAAAGCTGATCAAATATTTACATCACTGAACTCCCTATTTGTGAATAGCAATTTTACAGTGTACCTACAGTTTTCGTAGTTACAAAAATAAAAAGGTACAATACACAATAACCCACAGACTGAAAGAAGCCTTTATGCTGTATCAAATATTATAAATACTGAACATTTAAGTGGACAAGTTCCAATTGGTTTTAGCTTTATTATATTCCAATCATTTACCACTAAAATATTTTAAATTTTACATAGCTTATGCTAGTTAAAAAGTTATGGCTTCATGCTCTGCATTGCTGGTACCAGGAAATTATCCTCCACCTTTCACAATTCAAATCTTTTCTCTCATCCACCTACTAATGTTGGTTCCCAAATCTCTCTTGCTTTTAAGCAAATGTAGGCAAACTGCAGCTCCCAAGACAATGTTTCATTGCCATTTTTCCTAAAATTTTATATTAATCTGTAGTATACTATGTACCAGTATCAGTATCAACGGCCGACTTGTTGGGAAAAAAAAAAAAAAAAAATTATATATATATATAAATTATATGCGTAATTCACATTCTCTTTTCAAACATCCATATGCATTGTACATGTATACAACACTGACAAGATTTAAAATTACACACATGTGCAACAAAGATAACCAGATGTTGCACATGTCTAATTTTTCATTCATATGCATTGTATCCAAACTGCTGTTTAAACTCTAAACATAATCAAAACGTTTTAAACAAGTATGGATGATGCAACTGGACTCTGCGCCATCACTCTTCATGCAGTACACCCAAGTTACATGCTTGCAGCAGTAGCAGTGTAGATAAGTATTTATTAATCAGAAAAGTACTTAAGATAAATTTAATGTTAAAAAAAAATTTAAATAGTCTGTGGCTCTTGAACATTCAAAAATGCATGAAAACTATTGTATGTGACTCTTCCTATCGATGAACTTGCCCACCCCTGCTCTTAAGCTTCATTATAATCTTCAATTTAACCTGCCATATGTAGTAACAGTTTCTTTCATACAATATCCTGAACTACAAGTACCCAATATTAGAGAGAGAATAGGATATATCTAATTCAAAGCCAAACAGCTTCTCACTGACGATCAAGACACTAGAACAATGGCTCCAAACTGACAGTTCACACACCATCTATATCATTAAAGCTGTTTTAAAGTCACGCATGATGCATATATTCTGCAGCTACATTAAATGATAATCACTAATTTCAAACACCCAGGGTTATGACATCTTAGGAACATGAAATACAATGCAAAATAATTGCCATTAAAGATATTATTGACATGTTGCTAGTTACCTTTCCATGCAACTGATGAACCTTCATTTCAGCAGTCAGGAAAACTGGGAGCAATTAAGCAGTTTCATTAGTAAATGTCCACAAATAACTGCTGGACTTCGCATAGTCTAAAAATACTTAACCATGACTTTGCTGTGACAACCAATGCACTTCAGTGAGAAAAAATGTGTACGCTCACTGTCTGCATCCTTTAATTTAGACTAGATTTGGCAAAGTTTATGATTTTCACTGAATCACTAAACACTGACAGCCATTTCATGAACTCCTTTTACTAAGACAAGATTATTTTTTGCTTCATTATGGGACCCCGAGAGGTGCAACTACCAGTACCCATGAACTTACAGGGTACATTATACCTGTTGGGCTTAACTTTTGATGAACTAACTTCAAGAGACCACTTTAATCCCCTCCCCCCTACTACTGCAACTACTAATCAAGGTGTGCAATTTCCAACATGTCCTAGATTTCTTCCAAGCTCATCCTTGCCCACTGTATGCATCAATTTACTTAATTACTTCTGTTCTAGTACATTCTAGACAAATCTCTAAACCTTCACATGATTAAACAGTAGAAAGCCACAATGTCGTCTCTATAGTACCAGAACGTAGAGAATTCAATGAAGTTTCAAGATCTACCTTCACCTATGGAATATACCAAGGGTCCAAGACCTCAAAACCCAACTTCCATTTACAAGGAAAATCATTCATTATTCATTAGGGATTTACCGGTACTTCTGGCCTGGAGGAAAATCATTAACAGGCACATCAAGACTTCCTGATCAGCCTGGCTGTGACACTTCCATTGCCATGCATACTAACATACAAGATGGCCTAAAAGGCCAGACCAGCAAGTAAGAGGCCTAGTCCAAGATAACACTATGGTGGGAGACTTAGCCCTGCTAGTCAATCCCATACCTCCAGACAGCTGGTAGTATTACACAAGAGATTTTGGTCCCACCTAAACTGCCAAAATGAGCAAGTCTATCTGAACCACTGCAGTTTCCTTCCTTTAATTTCTCGGATCATTCCACTTTACAATGGAATCCTCCTTACCATATTTGTTTATTTGGGCAAGATCCTATAATGGCTGTCTTTCAGTTCAGCATCCCCATCTTTACCCTGATTATATCCATCAGCAAGTCGAGATCTTTTTCTTCTAAGATCAGTTTCCTCAGCTCGTGTACCAGGTCTTCACACATTCCACATTTCACTATTCTGTCAGCAGGATGGTGTAGCACCATCTCAGGGAAGTAGGAAAGCCTAAATTAAGGAATGTCAGACTAAGTAACTGTTTAAATAGGATCAGCCCATTAGTTATAACGAGATTTGATTCCAGGTTCACCTACATAGTATGTTGTACTAGTTGATCATCAAAGGATTACCTTACAATTGCCTGGATTCCCCCACCCCTAGGAAAGGTTTTTGTCCATAATTTGAAGTCTCGTCCAAGGTTAAAGATTTTCCATCACTGGTGTATTCCAACTGGGAAAATGTTCATGCAACTAGTGGCATATAGAACTGCCTGCTACATCCTTTGCTTCTAACTGATCTCCAGTCTGAAAAAGATCTACAACCAAACTCTAATAATGACACTTACGTTGGATGCCATACATCTAACTTAAGCAATTTGCAATACACATTATTTTCTTTAGAATCAATGACCTACAAAATCTAGTTTCAGCACATGGTCAATTGCTACACAAGGTTTTTAGCTGCCCAATTATGTAACCATTGCCAAAGAATAATTTTGGTATGGTCTTGGCAACATTTCACTGGTGCTAGTTTTGTAAATTCACACCAAGTTATTTTTATTGGTTGTATAGTAAACTTAAGCAAAAACAGCTTACTACACTTAAAACTGGTGCAGTACTGGTCTTTAAAATAAGCACCAAGTAGAAATCAATGATATCAGGGAAAAGAGGATGGCATTTGTTCCATAATGGTCATCAAAAGGAAAAATTAAGGAAAAAAACATTTATTCTAGGATAAGCAACAACCGTGAGAAGAGGGTGCAAGGCAATATATTACTAGTGCCAAAGGGAACAATTTATTACCTTGAAACTGGACTTCATACACGGACTAGCTAATTTTCCACTAATTTGAGGCAGAGATCAGGAGTGAGCACAAGCCACGTATTGTAACTAAACTACAAACACTAAACTTTTGCAGTATATTTTACCTTGCAAAAAAAAAAAAAAAAAAATAATATAGCTTGATAGAACAAAAATTACAGCTCTCCAACTAGTGTTTTTACTTCTGGCCATGCAAATCAAGTATCAGTCTTAAATGATTAATAAACAAGTACTCCGATGCTGCTTACCCAATAGGTTCATTAACCTTTCCAACTTACATTTTTTATTAATTTATTGTCTTGCTCTTTCCCAAGTGATAGAAAAATAGAATATGTGCAATCCTGCTATAAAAGGTTAATGTTAGAGAATGTCATAATACATGCAATATATTCTGCAAAGGTAAATGCAGAAATAAAGTATATAAACTTAAAAGGACATTTATAGGACTGATAAAATATGAATTATAAATAGGACATTTATTTGACTAAGGGTGAGTATTGGGAATTGAAAATGTGGTACAAATTCTGCACACAGCTAGTACAAAACAGCAAAGATAGGGTACAGAAACATTTTTTGAAAAAGGAGCATATATATATATTAGCAGTAGTGGTAACAAAGCTATTACAATGATTTACCAAGCATACTGGTTACACCATTTATCCATAGTTTATCAGGCAATTAACAGGCATTAAAAATAATATCCACATTAAAATTTAAACTCCTACAATAGGAAAATGCAACACCCTTGTCAATCCCCTAGGTAAATATACCTCTATGGTAACTGCCCAAAACATCGCCAATGGGACTTAGGACTAAGTGCAACATAACAGCCATCAAATACATTGTTAAAGCTCTGAGTAATGCAGTGACACTTGTAAAAAATAATGAACCTAAAACTTATAAATCTCAAATGATTACAGAACCGTGCAGACATTTTTAATATGCATTATATCACAATTAACTTTTTAGTACCCTTATGGATGAACAGAGATCCCATCATGCTGGTCCTACAACAAGTTAGCATTGTGGTAAAATAGTCTACAACCCACATTACAAATGAACAACTTAACTGTAGGTACCAACAATCATCCTTCCATTTTATTAATCTAAGAATATTCTTTGGAATATACATAAATTTTTAATAGAAGGAAATTGATCAGATCTACATAAAATTCCCCATACTCAAAAGATTTGCTAGTCCCTGGGTATTCAGCAACTCTGGGGGACACATTCTGCTGATTTGGCATGGTAAACCCACAGTACTAGGAATCCTCTTGAAAAAAAAAATCTAATTTCAAGAAAACAGCAGCAGGCAGGCAAACCTATTGCTATTTTTGCATGATCCAAAGTCTAATGCCAGTGGCAAATCATATTTTTGCTTTCCTTTAAACTTTCAATATCCTTTATACATTTTTCACAGCTGAATTAACTGAGAAGGCAATCCACCAATTTTCAAATCATTTACATACAACCATACAGCCTTTTCTTCGCCACCAAACATGCCAGATGTTGCTGCATCAGGTTAATGAAGTCCTAACTTTTACCAGAAGGTCACTGCTGTTTACACTCGGGTGGTTGACCCTTTGCTGCTTTGTCTTTTGTTGGATCATAATCTGGATCGTCTTCCTCCTCGTCATCACCTTCCTCTCCTTAAAAATAGTAAAAGCATGTAAAAAAAAAATTCATTGCCAATTACATTCTACAACGTACTGAAAATCAGAAATTACTAATATATCATGAATATAATCACATAAAGGTTTGTTGTTCAAAACTATCTTAATATTAATGCTAAGAAGCACTAGATTGGTCTCATTCATAGTGTATATTAAAGATGTTCAGCAAGTTTAATTAAATGCCCTACTTGCTGCAATAACTGGTCAGTATCAGAAGGCAATGTGCAGCTCTTAAGCAACTAAATGCAAGGGCTACTTCCAATTTGTGGGAGGCATTTAACAGAGTTAAGTTTCAGCCCTGTGAAAACCAATGGTCCACTCCCAGTACAAGCATTAGATTTACTAAAAATGGAATGAATTTTATATCTCAAAAAAATGAAGCCTGTTGTGAGAGGTGACAACAAACAAGACTGATAAAATTAAGGTGGTGTGAATGAGGTGAGCATGGATAACTTTCAAATGCCACCTTGCTGGACAAGAAATGTTTAAAAAAATTTATATTTTCAAGTATCAAAATTTTGGTTTAAGCTAACCATATACCACCAGGACTGGCCAAATTTTAATTCACAGATGACAACCATGCTTCTTCCTTCAAACCACTACAATTACAGCAAAGCATCTAATTTAATAACTGGTTTATATCTAGGCTTAAAGATAACCAACTGCAAACATGCATAAAATCAACAGCTATAACAAATTGCTAGAACTCTCACTCTTCAAAAATAAAGTTAGTGTTGTTAGTATACCTGAACTTCTGGGTGATGCTATGGTGCTACACTGAACTGATTATTGACCCTGTGAATATAATAAATCTTGACAAACAAACCTTATAAAACTAGTACTTCTGATACTCAAACAAGAACAACAAACCTTCAAATGATAACAACCAATCCTAATAAATTAATATCTTGCTGCCTTTTTTCCCTCCTGCAATTTCCATCTCTATGGGGAGGACTAACAAGTATCCAATTTGTAAACAGCAGTGCATAAGTCATGTTCAGCATACAGTCAAACACTAATGAACTGGCAAGCTAGAAGTGGTTAAGGTATAACAATTATGTGATGCTCCACTAATTTTTCCTTGTGACATCAGTACATTGGCATTCTGCTGGAGTGTAAACATGGTATAATCTACATAAAGATGGTCAGGGATAAAAAAAAATTATAGTGACAGCACAGAGTAAGCTAGGTGATGCTTTAGTTCAGTGAATTTATGGATTGATTATCTATTACATTACTAGGGAAAAGGCAATTTTGACTATTCTGCATCACCTAACCAGTTTAATATTTACTGAAATATATTTAGGAGAAACTTCAGATTTACACTATGCTACATGAAAGCACAGTTCTGCTGTGCAAAATCTGCACCAACTTTAATATTAAAAGTTCACAATGAGCACTAGACCAATTGCCCCAAACTAATGCAAAATGAGCACAGCATTTGTGTACTGGATACTGGACATGATTATCAGCACTTTTTTTTTTTTTTTACATACAGTGAAACACTTAAGCCACAAAATGTGAAGGGAAATAGGGGGAGGGGGGGGGGGGGAACTGGAGAAAAGAGGGAAGGAAGAGGAATGACAAAGGGTTAAGGAAGATAGGAAAGAAAAAAGGTAGGGGAACAGGGAAAAGGAATTAAAGACCAGGAGGCAGCAATAAGTTTAGTTCAGCTCCCATGTCAAAGAGGATAAACCGAAAACAAGTCTGCATGCTGAAATGGATCAATGATGAAATCTGTAGATGAAAATACTGAATGCCTGATGGCAATCAAAAGTAAATTTGAAATCTCCAGACCTATTTAACATTGGAAATTCATTATTACTCCATTTCAGAATTTGTTTCTCCTGTAATATTTAGCCCTTTTTAACACTAATGTTTCTCAAGTTGAGAAAGTTCTGATGGATTCATTTATAGCATCCCCTTAAAGATGATATTTGGAGAGAACAAGGCAATAAAGAAACTTTGCTTAGGATATGTATATATAATCAAAATTAAGTATTTTACTTTGGATACAAGACATTTTCTTCAAAATAAGTCAATGTATATAAACAGGATGCACACAATCTTACATTATAGAAAAAATTACACTTAATTTTGTTTTTTAAAATATCAGGCACCATCAAAATAGTAAGCAAGTAATTGAGCAAAGTATGGTGGCTTAAAGCTTGCCGCAAGGTCAAGTGCCAGATAATTGGGTTAGGAGCCACAAACCATAAACACATTAATCCAATCATTACACAAATATCTGCAAAAGTTGTAAAGGTAAACAGTAGGGATTTAGAACAGGAAGATTATGTAAATGTTTAACAGACTAGATTTTCATTGGCCTGGGCAGATGTAATTTAAGGAAAAATCACCAATACCTATATAACAAACTGACAGTTTAGGCTCTCATTTGCAATTAAAGACACTAAAGCCAAGTAACAGAATATTGCCAGTAGATGCTTTAGGATGGAAATGGAAAGTGTTATGACACTATCACTGTATTCCAGGATGAACTCTTGCCTGGAAAGTGCTAGTGAAAATCATTGGCTTGCAGGGTAAGGTTAAACCATGCTTGCAGACTAAACCTACTTGGTAGAGGCAGCTGTTACCAGGTGTGACTGAATTTATAAGGGGGAGTAAAATGTAGAACCCAGACCCCTCCCCCCAACTAAATATTATCTCACCATATTTGCATGATACACGGGTGACCACTGACCAAATCAGCCCTTCGATCCGTGGAAAAATCACATCCCTGTATTATATTAAACCTTTCAGTTAGTCGGAATGCTTTGAGAGGTACGAGACTAGGTTATGTGAAACAGGGTCATAGATTATGTTGACTAAGGTAGGTACAAAGTTTACACAAAGTAGAAAAACAACTGCATATTAAGTATTTTAAACTGAACAGTGTCAAGGATGTCAGGTAAGGCAGCAAGGTGAAATGTGGAAGTCAGTGGGAAATTAGGCATGAAATGTTCAGGCAATTAATATACTAATCAAGTTTAGCATGAATTTTTAATTAGTATATTATGCTCAACTAAGAGCTAAACCCATTAGTATAATACACTTTCACCCAATCAAAAAAGCAATCTCTTATCAAACAGGGCTGCACATAGAATAAGGCATATCCCAGGGGAATATCTAGAAGCATATTTGCGTGTAATTTTTTTTTTTTTTTGCAACACTGCCCGTCTCCCACCAAGGCACGGTGACCAGAAAGAACTTTCACAATCATTCACACTGTCTTGCCAGAGGCACACACAGCTACAACAGTATAGATGCCACTAAATAGCAAATACCCCAAATCCCTCCTTTAATACATTATATAATTCAATTCAGTGTGCCAAACCCATATGGGTCATACAGAATAATAGTAAAAAAAATTGTTTTAGTTTCAAGTCTAGGGCAAATCAAGTCATAAAATTAACAGTTTTTGCAACTGATTAATTTGTTAAAAATTTAAGAGTTAGTCTGCATCAAATGTGGGACTTCCGAGGACAGTTAGCGTCAAGATGTATGAATTCAGCGTGCTTTGAATTGGTAGCTAGACAAGAGATTCTGAGGTGTGTGTGGCAAATTCATGAATGCATGAGCAGCATCACTCTTCTGACAGTGATGGGAAGACTATGGCTAGGAGCATAACTGTCATTTAAAGGGAAAAAAATTGTATTTCAGATCTATGTTGTTGCCAGCAGTTTTAGCATTCCAGGGATTTCTGGTAAATGGACAGACCTGTAACCAGTTAAGAAATGGTCTTTGGTACAGTTGTAACAATAGCAACCCCATGCTGCTCTTCAAATCAACTGCACAAGGAAGTCAGGAAACCACTAGGGAACATTTCTGAAAATATTTACCCAAAGGCCAAGTGATGTGAAGAATAGCTGCAGAGTTGGTAATCAAAATGTCTCAATAGCCTGTCCATAGAGATTCAGAGGGTAAGGAAAAGAACTATTGAAGTTTGCACCCAATCCACCAATTGCCACAGATCCGAGAGTATGGCAGAATTAACCTTTACACCATCTACATTATTATTATTATAATCAAAAAGAAGCGCTAAGCCACAAGGGCTATACAGCGCTGCAGGGTAGGGAAGGAAGCAAGGGAATTGGATGGCAGAAGGGAGGGGGGATGATCAGCAGGTTACAGAAAACAGCGGGGCAGGGGGTAGTACGGGGATAGAGGGTAGCAAGAGATTGAAGTAGAAAGGGCTGAAGGTATCAGAATTTGTGAAGTCAGTCAGTTGTTGTCAAAAAGTCAATGAGAGAGTCCGGATGAAAGGTGGGTCCATCAGCGAGAAGGGAAGGTAAAGAGAGAGCAGCAGAGCGGAGACGACGACACAGGTAAATTCTGCGTGCTCGTTGATAAAGTGGGCAGTCCAACAGAATGTGGCTGACTGATAATGGAGCTTGGCAATTCTCACAGAGAGGAGCAAGACGCCTCTCCATGAGATATCCATGAGTAAGACGAGTATGGCCAATGCGAAGACAGGAGAGAGTAATATCCCAACCTCGACACTGGTGATAAGAAGACGGCCAGTAACCTATACTCGGTTTAATAGATTGAAGTTTGTTGCCGAGCATAGTAGACCAACGTTGTTGCCAATGGGTGTGAAGGTGGGAAGATATTGCAGTAAAATAGTCCGTAAATGGAATACCTCTAAGAAACTGGTAGGTCATGTACTGCTGACCGCGCAGCACTGTCTGCCTGTTCATTGCCCTGTACGTCAACATGACCAGGGACCCAACAAAAAACTATCTTTATGCTTGGTAAAGATGCGGCGTAGCCAAAGTTGGATACGGAGGACTAAGGGGTGAGGTGTATCAAATTTTTGTATACCCTGTAAAGCACTAAGGGAGTCTGAGACAACCACAAATGATGACACGGGCATAGATGCAATACGGATAAGTGCTGTAAGGATGGCATATAATTCAGCAGTAAAAATACTAGCCGAAGATAGTAAATGCCCTTGTACGACGCTGTCCAGAAACACTGCTGTGAATCCTACGCCGTCAGAAGACTTGGAGCCATCTGTGTACACAGCAATGGCATGAGAATGAGAGTGAAAGTGGTCAAGAAAAAGAGCGGGAAGCGACCGTAGACAGTTGGGCTTTCGAGCAAGGGAGGGAGAAAGAACAGACTCGAACAGCTGGAACTTCCCAGGCGGGTAGGGAAAAGTGAGATGCTACATGTACATAGAAAGGTGGTAGTTGAAGAGAAGACAAGAGCAAATGAACGCGAAGAGAGAAGGGACGGAGTAAACAGAGGCGGCGAACAAATAAAGAATGTCTACTAATATCAGTGACCATTCTATAAATGGAAGGATTGCGGAGATCATGAGAGCGTACATAGTAGCGCAGGCAATGGGCATCACGGCGATCGGATAAGGATGGAACGTTCGCTTCTGCATAGAGGCTCTCGACAGGGGAAGAGCGAAAAGCACCAAGGCATAAACGTAATCCTTGGTGATGAATGGGGTTAAGGCTAGAGAGAGTAGCAGGAGATGCCGCTGAATAGATCTGGTCACCATAATCAAGTTTCGATAAAATAAGGGTGGAATGTAGGCGAAGGAGGGTTCGACGATCAGCTCCCCATGAAAGATGAGCAAGGGTTTTAAGAAGGTTCAGCCGGCTGTGACAAGTTGCCTTCAGAGAGGTAATGTGAGGTTTCCAGGATAACCTACGATCAAAGAGGAGGCCCAGAAACTTGACTATCACGTTCAGGGATACGGGAGCCATAGGGGTAAAAAGGATGATCGGAGATGACAGAGCCTATGAAAGTGATTTGGGGGGTTTTTAGTGCTGGAAAATTTAAACCCCACGTGGGGTCCCCCAAATTTGGAAAAACGGTCACTCATTTTGGAGAGAAACTTAAGAGGTGACAGTCACGCCGCACGGGCAAAGCGAAGTCATCAACATATGATGCCCAAAATTTTTTTGATGGAAACTAGAGGCCAAATCTTTAAAATACAAGGAGAAAAAAGTTTTTGTGCCAAAACACATCCCGGGGGGACACCTTCACTTGATAAAGTCCGGGGGAGAGCACATTATTAACCCGAACACGGAAATGCCTTCAGTTAAAAAGTTCTTAAGGAAGGATGGTAATTGCCTCAAGGCCAAGATGGGTTTGGGGCTAAAATATTATACCTCCAAGTTGGTCATATCCTCCAAGGTAAAAAATATGGCAATAACGATGGTTATTCGCAAAGGCATTACGAACATACTATCCAAGCGTAGTAAGGGGGTCTATGGTAAACGCCCCTTACGAAAGCCATTTGACGATGGAACGTTGTTTTCCCTAAAATACCACACTAAACGCTATTTACTAGTGTCCTTACTTTGCAAACTGCACTGGTAAGAGCAATGGCGATAGGGGGGTTTCTTCCCTAGGCCTGGTTTGGGGGAAAGGGAGAACAATGGGGGATTTCCCAGCTGGGGGAAGAACCCTTTGCCAAATAAGATTGTAAAGGCGTAATAGGACTGCAATGGCTGACTGATGTAAATGTTTGTAGCAATACGAATATTAATGTCGCGGCCCAGCTGCCGATGATCGACAAGCTTGAAGAGTGTTTGCCGTTCCAGTTCTTGAAGTGTAAAAGGCAAACATTATACTGTTCTTCTCTGATAGAAGAAAAGTCCAAGGGTTGATAACTCTCGGCAGACTTTGAGGAAAGAAATGATGGGAATAGATGAGTCCCTTGAGAAATATGGGACCAGATGATTGCCAATTCATTGCAACATCTTAGTGGGTTTTCTATATCAACACCGGCGCAACCCGCAGAACATGAGCCGGGTCAGGAGAATATTTACCACTCAGTTTTCGTACTTTTTTCCAGACTGCACTCAGAGGAAGCAGAGGTGATGTTGGAGACAATCTCGCCAGCAAGTGCGTTTAGCGTACGGAGACAACGCGAGCGATTGCACGCTTTCTTTTAAAATCAAGGATCGCTCTGTGGTTCTATTGTACCGGTAACCATGCCCCATGCAGCGCGTTTCAAACTACTGCACGAGCACAAGCAGAGACCACCAAGGCACACATTTCTTTTCTGAGAATGCCTGCCGAAAAGTTTGGGGTATAGAATGAGAAGCTGCGGTTGAAAACGAGGACTAGAAGGAGGTGTAAAAGCTCTACGATGGAGACAGAGAAGTAACCTCTTTAAAACAGTTAGGTGTGAGTAAAAGGTTCCAATTTGCCCAATTATTTAAAATTGCCAGCGTGGGTGCGAAAGGTGGCGAATATGAAGGGGAAGAAAGAATGATTGGGAAATGATCCATGTCATGTAAGTCCGGGAGAACAGACCAAGTGAAATCTTAATGCGGCGGAGGAAGAGCATACCTGAAGATCGATGCAAGAGAAGAGTATGAGTCCGAGGAATCAAAATGGTGTGAGTACCTTTATTTAAACTTGGAGGGGGTGGGTGCAAGAAAAGCCTCTAACAGAATCCACGGGAACACAGTGAGACCCCTCCTGAGGAAATGGAGGGCCATTAAATCACCAAGTAACAGAATCGGTGGCGGTAAGGACGAAACAAGGAAGGCAAAATCCGAACAGATAATGCCTGAGAAGGAGAATGATAAAGAACAGAGCATATACCACCTATGTACGTGATACGGTGCTCTGTGTAATGCAGCGAAGTATGAACAAATAGCTATGGTACGGAATATCAGTGCGGAGAAAAAGGGCACTTACATTAAAAGTTCCCATCAGAAAGGATCTGGAAGAATACCAATAAATATAGCCTGAGATTGAGAAATA